TTTATCAGGTCAGGTCATAAGCTTGACCCAACCTGATGTTGACCTGAAAATTTGTCTACCCGACCTGGATTTTTCAGGTCAGGTTAGGTCGGATCACAGGTTGACCTGACCTGATTCAGAGCTCTATGGTTTGATAAACAAAACATAAACCAAAAAATGTTTCAATATTTTAAAGCTAAATATATTTTATAAATTAAAATAAAATAATTTAAAAATTTATAATAAAAATTTTTTTAAATTAATATAAAAATTAATATAAAATTAATATTAATCTTATAATTTGATTTTGAACAGCAGAATTAGCAATTATAGTATTATATTAATATTTAGATTATCTAATTTATTCAAAAAATCCAATGAAAAATTTTTAATTTCTTTTCAGTTTAACCTATTTCTACTTACATTTTCTCCTTCTTATACTAAAACTTATTCATTAAAAATAATTAAAACTGAATTAATAATCTCTTATTTTTTTATCATCAAAACATATAGTTATTTCAAATAAATTTTTTTATACAATATCAATCAAATTACTTTTAATAATTTCTGAATTTATAGTTAAAATTTAACTTGCTAATACTTTTTAATTAAGTAATTTTAATTTAAAATTTGTAAAATTAATTATTTTTAACTTGATTTATTATCAACCAATTTAAATGACCAATAAAAATATCTCCTTAAACTATTTTTAAAAAATTTGAGTTTTAAGATAATTGAAATTAATTATTTGTTTATAATAAATATCTTTACTTAAACTTTTAATAGGTTTTTCTAAACTTATTAAATTTAATCAAGTTTCAGATTTAAAAAAAGGTATTTTAAAGGTTTTGAAAAAATTTCTAAATTTTTAAGTAATACGTTAAAATAGGTTTTAAACAGTATCATTAATGATCATCTATTATATATAATAGAATTTAAAACCAAATTTTCCTATTGGATTTTTTTTTTGAAAAAAAAATTTGATAAGATATATAATCTATAATTTTGGTTTTTTTATTTTATTAAAATTAGATTTTTCTGTTAAAGTATCAATATTAGATTTTTAAAGAAAATTATAATAATTATTTATTGCATTTAAAGTTTTTAAAAAAAAAATAATTAAAAAATTATTTAAAAATTATTTAAAAATATCTTATATAATAAAGAAGTAGAAGATAAAGATTTCTTATCTTAGAATTATATTTTTCTTTATTTTTTAGGAAAAATAATTTTATTTTTTTCATTTTCAATATATTGTTCTTCAAATTTTTACGAGAGTTTAAATGAGAAAGAATTAATAGTTTTGTATTTATTATTTATTTTTATAATAATAACATTATATATAAGGATGAGCATCATAATTAAGAAGTTGCAACTTGGTTGCAACTTCTTGTAAATTTATTTTAATATAAAAATTCATAAATAGTTGCAACTCAAAGTGTTGCAACTTAAGTTGCAACTAGTTAAAAATTTTAAAAATAATTATAGGAACCATCTTTAATCATATATAATAATTAAATTTATTTGCTTTTTCTTTTAAAATAATAATATATAATATAAGAGAATGTTTTTGTGATAACATATTTATAAAAATTAAAAAATTTATAAAAACAAAAATTATTTTAATTTAATTAAATAATCAAATCTTATTTTAAATTATATGAACATATAAAATACTGGATAAGTAAAATAAGCTAATTGAAAATTACTTAAATTTCAATAATGTTTAATTATTAATTTGAATAATTAGATATATATCTATCTAAATAATATTCAAATGTCTGATTATACAAATTGGATATTGTCAAATTTCAACTCTGTTTATACCTATTTTTAGATTCTTTATTAGTTTTTTCTATATTATTAGATATAATTTGTGGGTATTTAATAATAATGTATTTTTGTGAAATCATATTTGTGATAGTATTTCAAGTCAGCAAAAATACAATTATAATTCTTGATTATTAATTAAATATGAGTCTTTACTATATATTATTTAATTTATCTATAAATTCAAATTAATGAATAGCAAAGGGATATGATTTATAATTATTTGACCTTGAAATATAATAGGCTTTATTTTTAATGGTAAGTATTATGTTATATAGACTTTTTGCAAAAGGTTAATTGAATGACATTATGTAGTTTAGCTTGTTCAGTGTAAAGCAAGCTGGGTAAATTCTGATGAAATTATTGAAGAGATAACATAGACATTGCATGTGAAATAAGTCAATGCTCTATAGTGTATCATATGTAATATAAGCATATTATCATAAGCCTCTTGTTTGTAGTATAATATTAGTGATATTTTCATATTTGGTGAAAACGGTGGAGAGTGTATCCTTTTGGTATTGAAATGAATATCAGTAACATGTAGAATGCATTGCTAAAATTGCATGCTATAAGTATATGAAGTACTTCATTAATAACTTTAATGCGAAGTATTACAGTCAAAATACTCTGAAGATTTACTAAATTGTAATATCTTCGAAATGCTGTGAAGAAGGTTTATTGAGCAATAATATCTACAAAAAATTTCAATCGTAATACTTCATAATTACTATAGAACTATAACCTTCAGAAGATGCAAATATTACAAAAATTTATAGTGTAATACTTCGTAAATATACAGAAGTGTATTATCCGCAAAATATTTGCTTCAAATCCTTTCCTGATGAAGAACATAACTCCAACCTAGACTTATGTTTATATGATTAGAAGGATTAAGTCAAAGTTATGATAAGAACTATCCATAGAACGTTCTCGTCGAGGAAATTATATTAATACATTTCATCTAAAATATTTATCAGGTCTGTTACTAGCGAAAATTACATTATTTTTATCATGTGAAAATACAACAGAAGCATATTTAGAAACCATGAACGAAGGAAAGGTTGGGGAAATAGAGCGTCTTTGAAACATCTTTTTAGAAAATTATGAGAAAAAAAATGCTTATCTTCGAACATACGCGTCGAAATTGAAAGTTAAGTAACTAACTCATTTTTTTATCATTGACACGTTTGATTGATAAACCTGAGTGAAAGGAAATTAATTATATACGTAAATAAGAAAGCTGTACTGACCATTATGAAAATAATTGGGATACGTGTAAGAAATTATATGAAAAACCTCTCAAAATGCTAGCACATTATGAGACCAAGATCATTTGTTTTAATATGAGTCTCCGAAATCAACCAAGTATAGAGAGTTAACGTTTAGGTGTATTAATTGATAAAAACGTTCCTTATATCGAGCGGTGAGTATTAACGAGATATACAAGATGAAAGAACTGGAACTGGGACGTCGTGAAACTTAAGATCATGTATAGAGAGGTAATCGATAAAATAAAATAGTTGTATTGTCTTCAATAGCAGCAGTTCATAATTGATTACGGAGGTGATTCTTGTTTACGGCTTAAGAAAGAAATTACAAATAGTATTTCTGCGAATCCGAGAATGGATCATTCTCACTCCAGTTCATATGTACGCCCTTGTTAAACCACTAATAAAATAATCATTCAAATATTTTATATAATAAAATTATATGCTGTTAATTTAATAAATACGTTCCTACTTGCAATTAATTTTTTTGCTCGCAATTAAAGTCTGCCTCATTGTTTAATTTATGCCCGAGATTTTTTTTATTACTTAATGTTATGAAAAGTCCTTTATGAGCATTTGAAGTTAAGGTACTTTATATGGGTCTTCGTAATACAAAACCTAATTAAGGTCCGTACTCTATTAAAAATAATGTATTAAATTTATAAATACAGTAAATAAAAATATTCAATTTGACAAATGTGGCCTCGTCAATACAATAACATAATAAGTTAATAAATTGAGTAAAGTACGAAGCCCCAAATAGTCCAACACTGTGGTGTCTTCCCATCGAATTATCAAATGACGAATTCCTATTATCAATTGTGTTCTGAAAAGTATTTTTACTTTTCCGTTCTCATAGATATTATGTTATATATTGAGTTTTTCCCTGGACTTAATTAATTAGTACTTTCATTTAATGCCCAAAGTATAGAAGTTTAAATAGCTCAAGCAGAGACTAGATAATAAAGATGCTACTACATGTGTCATTAATCAATAGATTGTTATAGACGTATTTATTTTAATACATCTTAAAATGAAGAAGGTAAAAGATTCTGAAGCCGTTCAAACATATACAAGAATAAATATTTACGTAAATAAATACTACCCGGACAAACGTATTCCGTCCCCAACCAACCCTTTTCCATTCTAAAGTTTATAAACAAACGAAAGTGTTACCATCGTGATTCATTCATATTTGATTGGAACGTAAAATAAGAATCTACAGCACATACAAAATTAAATTCTATGAAAATATATAAAAATACAAAAACTAAGTACATTACAAATGATTAAATAATTTGATGACATCCTTGTAAATTAAATTATATTATTATTAACAACTAAAAGAATTTGATGAATTTTTTTCTTTTTGATTTTTTTTTTTTGTCATTCAAAGGTTGATTCCAATCAAAATCAACCCAGAAACAACCAGTAACGGGTCTGTGATCAGAGAATCCAGCAAAAGCTACATTCATGTGAGAGGTATATGAATCAACCTTAACTTTTTTCTTATCTGATTTGGATTTCCATAAAATCCTGTCGGTCCAACTTGGCACACGTTGTTTAACAGAAGAATCATAATGAAATATATCTGTCTCAATGATCGGTTCAATTAACTCTGGAGCAGATTGAGATCGTTGATCTTGACTTGATTTATGCGTGTCAAATTTAAATGTTGGATAAAATTCTATTGGAGCTTCATGAAAATTTTTAAAGTATGGAAATTGTTTTAATTCAATCGTTAGTTGATCATGTTTTAATAACTCCTATAAAAGAAAATTTGTGTTAATTTTAGTTTAAAAAGAAAGATTAATAATCATTTTATTGATTTTTGTTTACGCATGCTTACAATAATGTTTTCTTCAGCAATTAAATGTTCCACATGTTCTCTTGAAAGGTTAACTCGATAGTTCATATCACCAAACCAAAATGTATAATCAAACCTATCCGTAACATTTGGCAAAACTGCAAATAAAAGGAAAAAAGTTTTTTTAATTATCATTTCCTTATTAAAAAAAATATTTTTATATGTGCATATATGAATTACCTTTATCGGAGGCATTAAATCCTTTTAATTTTAATTCTTTACTTATTTTTTTCACATCATGATTTCTTTCTTTAACTTTACTTTGATGTGCTAAATAAATTAAGAAGGGAAGTTTATATTAATTTTTAAGAATTTTTAAAAGAAAAGGCATAATTTTTTTTTTCGCCCTCACTTACCAGCTAAGTGACTATTTATGAAACAAAAAGAGGTGTTGCCAAATAATAATGAAATACCAATTCCACCTTTATTTCCAAATAAATTTGCCAACCCGGTTGGCACTTCATCATGTTGATAACCTTTTACCCAATCTTTACAACGAGCCCATACGAATACGGCCTGTTAAATACATTCAAATTAAAATTTCAAACCAATAAAAATGTTACAAAATTTACCATCATCATCCTATAACTTACCAAATGTAAAGCGGCCATGGTTTCAGTTTTAACCAAAACATATTCATCCCCCAAATGATTTTTTAACCGTTGTTCCCATTCTTCTTTTGAAGGGAAAAAGACTGAGTGTTTAATATTATGTTGACATTCTTGAGTACCAATAACTAAGATATGATAGGGATGTTTTGAATTTTTTTTAAAATAAAATTTATTCTTTATATCGCTTTCAGTATAATGAGGAAAATCAATAAAAGGTGAAAGACCATTCGGTGGTAATTTTCCGTGCATATTCCATGTACCGATAAATATCTTTAATTTATTTTTTTCGAATTCATCTCTTAGGATTTTAGAAAAAGCTGCTCTCCTATTTTTATCTCGATTAACAAAAGGTATAAATCTCGATAAAAAATCGATCCATTCTGAAAATTTTGCCATCAGGGCTTTAATTTTTTCAAACAAAGTTTCGTCTTGATCTCCTAATTCTGGTGGGTCTATTAATGTTGAATCTGTTGACGTTCGATCCGATATTTCGATTATAGAAGAATGTCTTAACAATGGCTCTTTTAGGAAACGAAATAAAAAAAAGGTTTAAATAGGAGGAATTAATTAGGTTAGGTCAAAATTGATAAATTACCGGTTTCTAAAGATGTCATTATTATTTTTATTTTTTTTTATGATGTAATAAAAAAATATTTATTATAAATTTAAATTAAAAAATTAAAGTTTTTTTTTTGATTCTCGATATCAGGTGAATTTTTTATTTTTTTCCTTAATTTTTTTTTTAAAAAAAAAAAGTTCCAAGATTCAATTTTTGTTTTTTTTTTCTTTTTAAAAACTTTTCGTTATGATTTTATATGTTAAATAACAAAGGATGCGATCTGCACAATGAAACATGCAATTTGCCTGTACAATTAAAAATGGCCAAATGTGTTAGATAAATTCCTTTAAATCTTTATAACACATACCCGAACTTATCACATAAATTTGAAACATGCAGTTTTGAACACGAGCCCACTAATCAATCCATATTAGGAAACATTCTATTTAACTTGTTTGGTATGTATTACATACCAAGATTTTGTCTCTAAAACAGAATTTTCAAAACCTATTTTTTTTTTTTCTCAAGTTACAGTAGTGCTTTAACCATAGAAACCTACTTTATCCCAATAAAAAAAAGAAAAAGGGGGAAAAAAAATAAGAATAAAAAAAAAAATACACGGTAGGTCTGTATCTCATGAGAGATCTTATGAATTGTACATCACACAGCAATAAACTTTCGACTAATCGGAATCCAACGATTATGCACGAGTTTGAGCAAATGACAAAATGACATTCTTGTGATTTCATCATATGATCAAGAGAATTTAAATTTGGTTGATAAAATTGCCGCATTTGTATCGTCCTTTATAAAAATTCCCCCATCAAAAAAAAAAAAAAAATTATATATATATATTCACATATGTATAAAAGTATATATATATATATATGAAAACTTTCCCCTAAATTTTACCCTATCGTCAATATGTCAATATTGATGAGGGGTAATTCGTTGGTCAATGATTTGAAATTTTTGATAAATAATAAGAATTATAGTGATTTAAAGATAATATGTCAAGAAGGATCATTAGCTTACGGAAATAGAGCAATATTGGCAGCAAGATCAAATGTGCTTGATCGTTTATTATCAAATGGAATGAAAGAAACAACAACTAATGAAATTAAATTTCCCGAGATAAAATTTAACGCAATGAAAATTATTTTAGAATATTTATACACTGGAGAACTTGAATCCGAATCACTAGCCATAGATAATTGCATCGAAGCTTATCATGCGTCTGATTATTTTCAACTCGAACAATTACAAGAAATAATTGTAATCTACGTTAAAGAATTGCTTGAAAGATGTCAAAATTTTGATAATCATGCAAGAGAAATTGCTCCTAAATTATTATCAAGAGCAGTAGAGAAAATGTCTCCCTCCGCTGATAATGAATTGTTTACATTATTAATTGAATGGGTTGCAAAAATTCCTTTGGAAGTTATTGGGTTTGATACATTGTCTTTTCAAGCTTTACAATGCCTACTTTCTCAAACTTATTCAACTCAAGGTCCTTTTGTTACCCCTGAATACACGATATTTCGTCATGCTGTCATACAAGCTACTCATGATATATCTGAAAATGCTATTTCAATTATCGAAAGTCAATTACCAATTTGGAATGAATTAAACAAATTACAAGAAAATCCTGATGATGAATCGGATGAAGATTTTACTCCATATGAAAAAATTCGTCCCGCGATAAAAGAAATGTTATCAATAATACTACCTTTTATTGATTTAAGAAGGATTGAAATAAATATCTTGGCTGATATAATTGAACCTTTACAATTATTACCTACATCACATTTATTAGATGCTTATAGATTTCAAGCTAGAGAAAAAAAATCTTTACCTCATATGCGTGGAATTCCTTTATTCGAATGGAATTTACAATGGGAAAAAAATGCTAGAGGTTCAAATTTATTATTAAGGGAAAATAATTCCGTGGTAGAAAGTATTCCTGGTGGTTTAAATACACATCAAAACGTTCGAGCTAATAATTTAATTATCGGTGAAGGAATTTTTGAATGGGAAGTAACTATTGAAGAAACTTGTATGTATGCTTGGGTTGGTGTTTGTACTGAACGTGGTCTTGATTATAATATTTTTGCCGGTCAACAATCTTGTGCTTGGGTTCTTGGTTCTAGTGGGAAATGTTATCATAATAATATTGGTTATCATTATGTAACTGAATTTTCTTCTGGTACTAGAATTACAGTACATTTGGATATGACTGAAAGATCCATCGCTTTCTCTATTAATGGTACAAGACATTCTTCTGTTTCTAATTGGAATAATCTTCCTTCTAAACTTTATCCTATTGTTTCTTTAAATTCTCCTGGAAGAATTCGTATCGGTCCTGCTAGAGATTGGAATTATAATCATCACAAAATAATCGATACTTAATTTAATATACAACATAATTCATTAAAAAAATATAATATAATAAGTTTGCTTAAAGTAATTTTTTTCCTCACATATAGTGATCGACATAATAAGCAAGCAGCATATCACGTGGAGGACAGTCAGTGGACTTATATTTTATTAATCTAAGTTTATTTATTTTCCCCATTCATAATTATTTCCTCATCTACTCAAATAACTAATTCTCCATTATTAAAATACATGAATTCAATTATTTGCTAATTATGTTAACATTAATATTGATTTGAGAAATATGATCGCAAATTACATACATTTCACCTTGGTTTGAAAATCTTGTTTGACTTTCTTACAGTATATAAGATCCATCATGCCGCACCATCAAACATAATAAATTATCAAGTACATTAGTGCATTTCTATTGACGAAGCCTCATATACCTTTGATTTCAGCACCATTCTACGTTAGTGCCCAAAAGAAACAAACGACTGGCAAATACGACTTCGGGTTATGATTGGATCTTTTTCCCCTTCCACTTAAATTCTCTGTCATTGTTTCTTAGAAAATGTATCCTCATCATTGGCGTTGCAACAATCATTTTTGGTTTTGAAGGAAGGATGCATGACGATCTTTAGAGGCGAAGTCAATTATATAAGAGTTGTAATAGCATCCGACACATGCAAACATCCCTTGTCTTCGCCTATTACTCCTCTTTCAAGGAATCAAGTTTGATCATGTGTTGATAAGACATTGTACCAAATTTGTAAAAAAAGGTTAAAAGAATTAAGAGAGGGTCACGGGATAAGACTTTCTCCATTGAAATTGAAATGACAAAATCGACGTTTGCATGGAGGAAGTTTTTGAAGAGACATATTTCCGAAGACGAAAAATTCTCTGAAAATGTATATCCCCATTCTTTGGGCTCGCTGAATGAATTACTAATGATGCAATCGTTTTTAATATTCCTACAAATAAAATGTTCGAAATAGACATGGGACCGATTTTTTAATTGCACAAATGAATTATTATTATTCTTCTTAAAGAGATTTTATTTCGATTGAAAAAAGTCATAGCCATTGCAAATCCAAAGCATATATTAATGATGCTTATGCTATTCTACACATGCTTCGATTTTTAAACCAGGATATATATAAATATATTGTTCTCTATATGCGGAAAGGTTCAAAAATGGTAAGGGAAGGATCTTCCCCAGCAACTCGGTTAATGTGACTTATAAATAATCTGCCCTTTACTATGTAATTTGGGAACTTGGTTTTTTTTTAGATACTCTTTATTTTGTCATAGACGCCATCCTCCCTCACTTGTGGCGTGGCATTTAGTACTTAGTTTCATCAAAAAAAGCTCGGTCCTTACACTAATCTTAATCGCCACGCCACAAGGTGAAGGCTACATTATAACAAATCATGAGTGATAAATAGGATTTCACTTCTTAAAAAAACTAAGTTCACATATTAAATAGTAAAAAATATAATATGGTGGGTTGTGATGCAATATAACAGATTATTATATAAGTCACATGACCTGAGCTTTTTTTGATAAAAAAGATTAGAAAAGTGTCAAAAATTATGCATTTATTGAATAAGATAGGGTAAACTTATTTGTCCCATTCATAATAGTAATTTTCATACTTTATATTTTAATATTATATAAGATCCTAAATACAGAGATATATATCACTTTATATATATATTTTGAAAATTATTCTAAATAAAATAAGTGTAACTATGTATACTTTGACCATTTTCATATTAGTAAACATAGTAAATATCACATCAATTGTCATGATAAATTCTAATTATTATATAAGAAACTGTTAAAAAAAATCTATTTTACTTATATATGCCAAATATATTTTAGACTAAAATATAGTATTAATTTAATTGAATTTTTTCTGTAATTTTAATTTTTCATATTTAGGTTATTTTTATTATATATGTAAATTTTTAATTAAATAAAATATAAATCATAAATAAAAATTATACAAATCAAATTTTACGAATTTTGTTTATATGCATCAAATTTATTATAAATTTTACAAAAAAAATGATTGCTATTATTCATAATAAGACAATACATTTTAAAAATCCAAAATAATTTTTCTAAAAAGAATATAATTTAAAATATCTTCATAGTTATGCAAATTTTAATATGATATAAATTATGCAATAAATATTTATAAATAATAGTTATTGGTTAGGGGGGGTAAAATATCGGTCACCCCAAAGGGGTGACATGATATTTTATCCACTATAACAAATAACTAGTTTATTACGTCAGTCAAACAAGATCATGCTATAATTTATTAAATAATAGTTATTGCGTCAGTAATTTAATTGATGTACATATTAGTATATATGATGTAACTGTACATATTAGTAAAATTTATCGTAATTGAAAAAAATTTTTTTTTCTCTTTAATTGATAAGACAAAAAACAAAAAAAAAGAAAACTCACTTACCTAAAAGTATCCTGAAGTGAAAATCTACCCAAAGACCTAAAAAAAAAATTCACTTACCTGAAGCGGCCCATAAGTGAAAGATCAAAGAATATTAATAATTCGCTTTGCTTCTTGCTTATTTCAAAATGCAACATGATAAAAATAAAATTTTTTTAACATTAATGTAAGTTTTTAAATTGTATTATTATTTTATAATAATTTCCTTAATAAATAAAATTTTCTTTAAAAAAAAGATAAAATGTTGAATTTTACATTCTGAACAATAACATCGTAATATGTTGAATGAATTTGCACAAAATTTCATTCTAATGATCAATCTAAATCTCATGGTTTTTATATTTTAAATATATATTTATTTTTTAATTAATAAATTTAAAAAAAAAATAATATTTTAATTTTTAATAGATTCCAATTCTGATGTAATAACAAGTATGGATTTAAATAATATTTTCAAAGTTCAAGAACAAGAAGGGTTTATTTCTTCTTATAAAAGTAAGTAAATAAATAAAATTGTTATTTTGTGGAAATACAAAAAAATATTAATTAATTATTTGTTTTTATTTTAGTGTTAAAACATAAAATGTCACATGAATTAAATTAAAATAATTTAAATAATAAAAAAATACAAAGAAATCCATTACATTCGTTAACTTCTAATTTAGAAGTAAAAATGCGAACTGATCAATTTAAAAATATGATATGTTAGAAACAGGGATGTTTGATAACGTTAAAAATTTAAATATGAAAATCAATTTGATGTAATTTATTATAATATCTAGATTACTAGAAACTTATTAATGATAATAAATTGCATATTCATTAAAAGCTTAATTTATAGTCTATATAATTGCAAATATATTTGATATTTAGCCGTTAATAAAAAATATCAGTCCATCAAAATCAGCATGATCCTATTAGACTGACCAATAATACTACTTATAATATAAATTTGTTAGATTATTATAATAAAAGTAATTTTTTTAAAATTTTAAATTTGTTAAAAAAGTTAGTAATCATATTTTTTAATAAAATATAAACAATTGTAAAAAAATTAAAATGTAAAAATTTATATTTTAAGGAATTATTTATTTACTGTAATATCAGATCATAAGAAAAAAGACATCAAACCTTATATTAGCATTAAATACATAATTTCTGATTTTTTTTCTAATATGTATTATTGTTATTTATATAGAATAGTTTAAAAAATTATATTAATAATAAAATAAAGATAAGTTAGATTATTTTTCATAAGTAATAAATGAATTAACTAATAAAATTTACCTTTTTTTTATATAATTATATATATTCATACATAAAGAATAGTATTTATAGAAATGCTTATATTACAGTAATATTATCAATCAGTAATTAAATTATATATTAAAAATCCAATTCAATTTTTTTTACTTTATTTTTAAAAAAATTTAATCTCTTGAAATTATTTAACTATGCTTTGTACTTACTATATTTTAGAAGAAATTTGTTTCTCTAAAAAGAAAATTTAGAAGGAATTATATTTTTAATAACTTTATTATATATTAGTTAGTAATTAGGTATATAATAAATAATTTCTCTATTAGTCAATTAATTGTTAATAAGGTTGTCTAATAAACCACTAAAGTTTTAATAGGTAGCAAATCTAAATAATTTTGATAATTTTTAAAGTCAAAAATCATGAAATTTAATGATTAGTTAATAAAATTTTAATAAGTAATAAGATATTTCAATAGAAAGTAAATTTATCAAAATCTTTAATAGTAATTTTTAAATTATCAAAATATTATTTTCTCAAATAAAATTGCTATAAAAGAACCAAAAAGAAATATTTACTAAAAATAGATTGTTAAGTCAAAAATATAAATACAATAAAAGAAACTAATTATATATTAACTTAATTTTTAAGCAGAAATATTTTATATCATCTATTATATAAGGCATTTTGAGAGATCTAAGACAGATTTCGATGAATGCCCTCTTTGTACTTAAATCCCCCCTACAAGTCCAGTTTGCTATATATTTCATTTCTATTTATTCAACCTTCTAGTGCCTTTTGACTCAATTCTAGATGATGTTATCGAACTTGGCTAGAAATTAGCCTGTCTAATATCAAGAACTACATTGATTAATATAACCATTCTAGCCTGATTTTAATCCCAAATAATATATCAAAAAAAATTTACTATTCTGTTTGCCTCTGAAGGGCTCACCAAAAATCAAGGAACAAAATGACATGATTTGAGCTGAGCCTGACATTGCAAACCCAAATTTAATAATAACTTTTATGCTATTCTGCTTGCCTCTGGAGGGCCCACCGAAAATCAAGGAACAAAGTGGCGCGATTTAAGCTGGGCCTGACAATGCAAGCCTAAAATGCATAGCAAATGTCAAAAGTCTAACCAAAAAAAAATTCGCCTAGTCAAGTCTATCCAAAAAAAATCTAACCAAAAAAAATTTGCCTAAGTCTATTCAAAAAAATCTAACCAAAAGTTATTATCTATTCTGAGTTTTTAAAGTTTTATCATGTAATCTGTTATAGTATTGAATCACATAATAACCTTTAACATGTAGTAGACACCGCCCAGAAGATGAGCTAGTAGGCTTATCATATATACTATATGGTACGCGTACCTTAGCTTTCCAATACTCATGACACCCTTCTTCACACATGTAAGGCCTATCACAAGTCTTGCCAGTATTGTGTAAATATGGACAGGAATATTCTCCGATCATTTTTTGATATATAGGGAAATAATTAATTAAAGAAAAAAATATGTAAAGGTATTATACAAAATTTTTCTTTTACAATGAGTACAAACTAATATTAAGCCAACATCTCAAGATATTGAAAAGGCATTAATAAATATCATCAAGGCAGGCCTCTACTATAGAAAACTAAAAGATGGAAAATTTATGTTAAGTTACAAAGATCGGGTTAAGAAATTACGTCAAGCAGAAGATCCTGAGGAACATGTATTAAAATTAGCTCAAAATATCTTCCCCAATAAAGATAAGTATAATCGAATAAAAAATGACTATAAGGAATATTATGGGCGAGATCCCAGAATTCTTAATGCAATCATGGATCTATACAAATTATATTATGAATTAGCCAAGAATAATTTTGTTAAGGAAGAACAAATGGATGAAGAGGCAGAAGACTATTTTAATTTGTGAGCACCCACTGGGGAGGCAATTCTGTATCATAAGGAATAATCATCAATTCTTCTCGAACAAAAGATTTTTTAGGACG